GTTGTACAAGACAAATGTAGAAATATGCCAAGGTGAAATGAACGCGGCACAAGATAAGATTTCTGCAGATTTGTGGCACAAAAGAATGGGACATATGAGCGAGAACGGATTGCAGATTCTTGCCAAGAAATCACTCATTTCTTATGCCAACGGTACAACGGTAAAACCTTTTGACTACTGTTTATTTGGTAAGCAACATAGAGTCTCATTTTAGACATCGTCTGAAAGAAAATTGAATATACTTGATTTGGTATATTCTGATGTTTGTAGTCCAATGAAAATTGAATCGATGGGCGGCAACAAATATTTTGTCACTTTTATTAATGATACTTCACGAAAATTATGGGTTTATATTTTGAAAACCAAAGATCAGGTGTTTCAAGCTTTCCAGAAGTTTCATGCTCTGGTAGAAAGGGAGACAAGCCAAAAGCTAAAGTGTCTCTGAAGTGACAATGGAGGTGAGTACACTTCAAGGGAATTTGAAGAGTACTGTTCGAGCCATGGGATCAGACATGAAAAGACAGTTCCTGGAATCCCACAACACAATGGCATTGCCGAAATGATGAACTGCATCATTGTGGAGAAGGTGAGAAACATGCTCAGAATGGCTAAACTGCTTAAGTCATTCTGGGGTGAAGCAGTTCAGACAGCCTGTTACCTGATCAATAGGAGTCCATCAGTTCTGTTAGCCTTTGACATCCCAGAGAGAGTTTGGACCAACAAGGAGGTGTCCTACTTACATCTAACATGTTCAGTTACAGAGCTTCTGCACATGTACCAAAGGAGCAGAGAACAAAGTTGGATGATAAATTTGTTCCCTGCATAATCATCGAATATGGAGATGAAGAGTTCAGATACATATTGTGGGATCCTGTAAAGAAGAGGGTCACCAGAAGCAGAGATGTAGTCTTCCGAGAAAGTGAAGCTGGAACTGCCGATGATATGCCAAAGAAGGCTAAGAATGGTATAATTCCTAACCTTGTTACTATTCCTTCTACTTATAACAATCCCACAAGTGCAAAAAGTATAACCAACGAGGTTGCCAAGCAGAGGGAGCAACCTGATGAGGTTATTGAGAAAGAGGAGCAACTTGATGATGGTGTCGAGCAAGTGGAGCACCCCACCTAGGAAGAAGAACAAACTCAACCTCTGAGGAGATCAGAGAGGCCAAGGGTAGAGTCATGTAGGTACCCTTCCACTGAGTATGTCCTTATCAGTGATGAAAGGGAGCCAGAAAGTCTTAAGGATGTATTGTCCCATCCAGAAAAGAACAAGTGGATGAAAGCCATGCAAGAAGAGATATAATCTATACAAAAAAATGGCACGTACAAGCTGGTTGAACTTTCAAAGGGTAAAAGACCACTCAAATGGAAATGAGTCTTTAAACTCAAGAAAGATAAAAATGGCAAGCTGGTCAGATACAAAGCTCTATCGGTGATAAAAGGCTTCGAGCAGAAGAAATGTATTGATTTTGACGAAATTTTCTCACATGTTATCAAAATGACTTCTCTTCGAACAATCTTGAGCTTAACAGCTAGCCTAGATCTTGAAGCGGAGCAGTTGGACGTGAAAATTGTATTTTTCACGGAGATTTGGAAAAGGAGATCTATATGGAGCAGCCAGAAGGATATGAAGTAGCTGAAAGGAAACACATGGTGTACAAACTGAATAAGAGTCTTTATGGGTTGAAACATGCACCAAGGTAGTGGTACAAGAAGTTTGACTCATTCATGAAAAGTCAAACTTACACAAAGACATATTTTGATCCATGTGTATACTTTAAAAGATTTTTTTGACAACAACTTTATTATTTTGTTGTTGTATGTGGATGACATGTTAATTGTAGGAAAAAATAAGGGGCTGATCGCAAAGTTAAAGGGAGATTTGTCCAAGTCATTTGATATGAAGGACTTAGGCCTGTCACAACAAATTCTGGGTATGAAGATAGTTCGAGAGCGAACAAGCAGAAAGTTATGATTGTCTCAAGAGAAGTAAATTAATTCATTGAACGTGTATTGGAACGCTTCAATAATGAAGAATGCTAAGCGAGTCAGCACACCTCTTTCTAGTCATCTAAAGTTGAGCAAGAAGATGTGTCCTACAACAATGGAGGAGAAAGGGAACATGGCTAAAGTTCCTTATTCTTCAACAGTCGGAAGCTTGATGTATGCAATGGTTTGCACCAGACCTGATATTGCTCATGCAATTGGTGTTGTCAGCAGGTTTCTTGAAAATCCTAGAAAAGAACACTACGAAGCAGTCAAGTGGATACTCAGGTACTTGAGAGGTACTAGTGGAGATTGTTTATGCTTTGGAGGATCTCATCCAATCTTAAAGGGCTATACAAATGCTGATATGGCAGGTGACATTGATAACAGAAGATCCACTACTGTATATTTGTTTACATTTTCAGGGTAAGCTATATCATGGCAGTCGAGGTTGCAGAAGTGTGTCACACTCTCTACAACTGAAGTGGAGTATATTGCCGCTACTGAAGCTGGCAAGGAGATGATATGGTTAAAACAGTTCTTTCAAGAGCTTGGATTGCATAAGAAGGAGCATGTCGTCTATTGTGACAGTCAAAGTACAACAAAACTTAGCAAGAACTCCATGTACCATGTAAGGACCAAACACATCGACGTGAGATATCATTGAATTCGAGAAATGGTAGAGAATTAATCTCTAAAAGTCTTGAAAATTTCTACAAGTGAGAATCCCGCAGATATGTTGACGAAGATAGTACCAAGAGACAAGTTCGAGCTATGCAAATAACTTGTCGGCATGCACTCAAACTAGAAGACAATGCTACCTCCTCTAGATGAATGAGACTGGATGGGGAGATTGATGAGGTCTATCTCATTCAAAAGCCAAAGTAATATGCATGTGCTTAAGGAAAATATTTGGCTGAGAATTTCTTTGGTTTGGTAGCCAACTTTATTGAATTTCTTTGGTTTGGTAGCCAACTTTGTTGAATTATCAACATTGAAGAAAAAGAAGAAAAAGTGTGTGCAAATTGTTAAATATAGTAGGCTTTAGAGAGTGAGGTTTCAGCTATAAAAGGAGAGCTTCGGCTCTCATTTCTACACACCGACAAAGCGAGAAAGAAAGAGCGAGGTTTCACAGACAAGGTATAAGAAAATAGTATGTGAGAAAAATAGAGAGTGAACGATATTGTAGTAAGGTGGGAATATCAAAAGAGAGTTATTTTTTTTGAGTGTTGTAGTGATCTTTGGAGTATTTTACTCGGACCTACAAAGTGTAAAATTGCTTGCTATAGTGATATCAGTTGCTCGTCTAGGGGCCGTGGTTTTTTCCCTTATTCAAAAAGGTTTTACACGTAAAAATCTTGGTGTCGTCGTCACTCTTTTATTCTTGTTAATTACCGTATCTCGGTGCTACGTTATTATTCCGCTTTTATTACTGTGAATATTATTTCTGTAGGGGTTTATTCCCAACAATAACCCCGTAGGGGTATTATAAGTATACTATAAGCTACGTCGGGTAAGACTTAGAAATGTGCATCTCTTTTGGTTATAATATAGAGTCAGCTGTATTTGTGGTAATTCTTTCTTATAAGAATATGTAATTAAGTATAAAATGAACATTAAAATTAAACATTCAAATATGGAAAAGTATCTTTTCTAGAACAAATTAAAAAGGCAAAAGGAGTCATATAAAACGAGAGAGAGTAGTAATTACTTAGGAAGAAACTACACAAGTTAGAATTGGATTAAAAGACCGTTGAAATGCAATTAATTGGGTATAGCTTTTCGTTTAAAAACTCAATAAACGACAAGGTTAGTGAGAATTTCTACTTTTCTACTCCTAATAAATACAATGACCTCGGAAAACAAATCTGAAAATTACTCTTCACAACTTCCAATTCCCTTCAATTACTATTCCACCAATGGACTAGTGAGCAACCAACAAACGTATTTAAGATCTTTAGAATTTGATAAGAGATGTGCGTTTTAAAATGTTGCACTATATTTTATTCTATTTATATTTATTTTTAATTCATGCTAGAAAATTCTGGATTTTTCTGAACCTACAAAAGACGCCCTCCAATCCTCTTTAAATTATCCTTATATGTAATTAATGATAATATAATTTATTATAATAGTAAGGGTAGAAAAGTAATTAATGCCAAGAAATTCTAAAGTACACTTATTAGTTACTTCCCCTGGTTGACTTTAATTAATTTTTTAGTGGTCGCCACTTTAATTAATTTTTTTGTCTTTTTTGCGGTTTATAATATTTACTCAATTCGGTCCACTTTAATTGATTTTTTTGATTGTTTTACACATATTAAGGAATTCACCTTTTATCATTAATTAACAATAAAATTGATCATATTGAACTTAATTTATTCATTGGAAGTACAACAAATACTCATAGACTCTTTACTCCAAAAGCTAACTTAGAAAAAAAGAAGTTAATTCCTTCATGATATCTGAAAAAATAAAATATTGTGGACCGCAATTTTTTTTTAATTAAAATTGACAAGAGGAAGTAATTTGTTCATATATTAAGAAGAATTTAACTTCTTTTTTTCAAAGTTGCCCTTGGAGTAAAGAGCGAGCCAATTGGTTTTGTGGCTTTTTACAAACTAATTTTTAGTTTTATGACCCTACCTCTTTTTTTAAATATGAAAGTTTTTTTTTACACACAAGAGATCTAAAAAGATCATTTTCTTAATTTTAAAATTGTAAAGAGGCATGCTGTACAAATAGCACGTAAAGAGCCTAGAAGTATTTGTTATAATTTTAATGAATAAATTAATGTTAATACGGTTAATTTTATTATGTATTATTTCTAAAAGATAATTTTTTTAATGTATTAAAATAACAAAAAATCAATTAAAGTGGAGGGAGTATTAGTCTTAATTTATTCTCCTAAAACTAGATTTGAAAAGGACGAAGTAAGTTTTTTTTTTTCGAAGTATATATAATACAGTATATATATTCATACTGAGACAGCAGTCAGCAGTTGTACCCACTGCTTATATGTTGTGTCCACTGCATGTTTCCCATTTTCGTCTACAGCTCATCTCTGCTCATCAAACCCATTTCAATTGCTCAATTACTCCCCTTTTAATTCTATTTACCACAAATTCGTTTGATTCCAGTTCCTTTTTTTTCTTTTTTCAAGAAAATTTGCTCTGTAACTTTTTTGCCCATTGAAGCTTAGTGGGAAAATTCAATCAAGTCAATGGACAAAGAGGTATCTATTTTCTTTCAGCTCGTTTTGTGAGTTTTCAAGTTTTTAGTTGTAATGTACCTGAGAATTACTGCTGATCTATCCAATTTAACTCTAATATGTATGAATAGGATGGATTTTGTTAATATTTTTAATAGGTGCTTAATTAACTGAGGAAAGATAAGGAAATTGATTAATAACATCATGCTTCATTATGTTTAATATGTGCTCAGTAAATTGAGGAAAGTCAGTTAAATTGGATAATTATTGCTTCATTGTGTTTCACTTCCTTGCATAGTAAAATATAGCTTCCACATGCTCCATTTTCTTTTCCATGTTGTAGTCTTGTTAGAGATTTATATGCCAGTAGAAAATGTAAAGAATTTTTAGTGTTACATCAGAGGCGGACACGAAATTTGAACTTTAAGAGTTCGAGATCGGGATTCTACCATATTTCATTTGATTTGTTGGGTTCGAAATATATTATTTGTATTTATTTAATGAACTTTTAACATATATACCAAGTCTGAGTCAAAGCTACTGGGTTAGAAATGATCCCATAATATGTGCTCTACATCCTCCCTAGTGTTACAACAACAACAACCTAGTGGATTCCCACAAGTGGGGTCTGGGGAGGGTAGTATGTACGCAGCCTTAATCCTACCCTGAGAGGGCAGAGAGACTGTTTCCAATAAACCCTCAGCTTAAGAAAATCCTCCCCTATGTTACATAACCTAAATTTTACTTATTGGTTTGGGACGGGTTTAAATGGAGCGACATGGACAATGAGAATTCATACCGACGGCACTGATTAGCTTGGGATTGAGGTGTAGTATGTGGTATTACGAGGCTATCGCCCAATTTAACTAGTCTTATTTGAGTCTTGTCATAGATTAGTTGGTTTAATTCACTTCCATAGCATTACTCATAGGATTTTTTTACATTTGTAGTAACCAAAGTTGATAAAATACTTTTTTGGGGGAAAAGATTTATATGGGAAACGAGAACATCCCATAACAATATGTGTTTGCACAATGTCTTGGTCCTATCCACAACTACAAGAGCTCACTGTTAAATTTTAGGTTGCCGCATGGATATGTATGGTAGAAACCCCTAAAGGGCACCTAATTAATTTGTTTTTGAAAGAATAATGCCTGTGATCATTACACGGTACAGCTACAGTTAAGGTTATTGGTTTTCAGCACTAGTGGCAGTGATGAGAATTGAGAAGTGCTGCATAGGAAAGTGCAGGGTCATGGTCTTGTTGTCACATGCTTTCTAACTGAGTTATAGCTTCTTGTTCTCCTATCAATGAGCCATCCATTACCAATCGTCAAGATGAAAATTTCAGAATAAACAATTAGCAGACATGAGAAATTGAATGCTATAGTCACTTGTTAACTAACACAAGAAATGCATTGTTAATGCTTCCTTTTGTCAATGATCATTGATGGTTCTCTCTCTCTCTCTCTCTCTCTCTCTCTCTCTCTCTCTCTCTCTCTCTCTCTCTCTCTCTCTCACACACACACACACACACACACACACTCGCTCTGTGTGTACATGTATATATTGTGGTTAATTCGGATCTTCTCAGTCAGACTGTTGCTTTTGGGGTTGAAATCATACTTAATTGAAAATTCTCTTATTAAGTATGTTAATGATTCTGGTTTTGACTGACAATTGATGAGCTATGCCTTTTGATATCTAGGTGCCATTCTCATAAGTTCAAATCTAGCAAGAAGGATTGGTGAATGGAGCATTGTTATGGAGAAGATGCTGATATAACTGAATCAGAGATTGAAGATTATAAAGAAAAATCATATGAAGAGTTGAGGTGTGGAAATCAATCTTTTAAGATATCAGATGTGGCTTACACTTGTCCCTATTGTCAAGAGAAAAGCGGGCGGCACCTTTTCTATGAAGATCTCTTGCAGCATGCAAGTGGAATAGGAAAGTCTAAGATACGAACTGCAAGAGATAGGGCCAACCATCTTGCATTGGCCAAGTATTTAGAAAATGATGTAGCAGGTGCTGCTATTCCATCAAAATCTAATAAAGAGTTGAACAGTGGAAATCACTCTTTTAGGAAATCAGATGTAGTTTTTGCTTGCCCCTATTGTCCAGAGACAAGAAAAAGAGGTTTTTCTTATAAGGATCTGTTGCAACATGCAAATGGAATAGGAAGCTCAAACTCTACGAAGCGAACTGCAAGAGATACGGCGAACCATCTTGCATTAGCCAAGCGCTTGGAAAATAATGTAGCAGGTTCTGCCAGTTCAGCAAAATATTATGAAGACTCGAGGAGTGGAAATCACTCTCCTAAGATATCAAATATGGCTTTTGCTTGTCCCTATTGTCCGGAGACAAGAGAAAGAGTTTTTTCTTATAAGGATCTCTTGCAGCATGCAAATGGAATAGGAAGCTCTAACTCTTTGAAGCGAACTGCAAGAGATAAGGTGAACCATCTTGCATTAGCCAAGCGCTTGGAAAAAGATGTAGCCGGTTCTGCCAGTTCATCAAAATCTTATGAAGAGTCGAGGAATGTAAATCACTCTTTTAAGCTATCAAATATGACTTTTGCTTGCCCCTACTGTCCAGAGACAAGAAACAGAGATTTTTCGTACAAAGATCTCTTTCAGCATGTATATTCAGTGGGAAACTGTAACTCTATAACGCGAACAGCAAGTGATAAGGCCAACCATCTTGCATTGGCCAAGTCCATGGAAAATGATTTAGCAGGTGCAGCTGGTCCATCAAAATCTTATGAGGAGATGAAGACTGGAAATCACTCTCTTAAGATACCAGATATGGCTTTTGCTCGTGCCTATTGTCCAGAGAGGAGAAACAGAGAATTTTTATACAAGGATCTCTTGCAGCATGCGAGTGGAGTAAGAAATGGTAACTCTAAGAAGCGAACTGCAAGAGATAGTGCCAACCATCTTCCATTGGTCAAGCACTTGGATAGTGATGTAGCAGGTCCATTGAAAGCTTATGAAGAGTTGGAGAGCGGGAAACAATCTTTTAACATATCAGAAAGGACTTTTGCTTGTGCCTATTGTTCAGATACAAGAAACAGAGATTTTTCGTACAAAGATCTCTTGCAGCATGCAGTAGGAGTAGGAAGCTGTGACTCTAAGAAACGAACGGCAAGAGATAAGGCCAACCATCTTGCCTTGGCCAAGCACTTGCAAAATTTTGCCACATATTTGGAAAATGATGTAGCAAGTGCTCCCAGTACATCAATATCTTATGAAAAAATGAAGAGTAATCACTCTTTTAACAATTCAGATGTCGCTTTTGCTTGCCCCTATTGTCCAGAGACTAGAAACAAAGATTTTTCATATAAGGATCTCTTGCAGCATGCTGGTGGAGTAGGAAGCTGTAACTCTAAGAAGCGAACTGCAAGAGATAAGGCTAACCATCTTGCATTGGCCAAGTACTTGGCAAGTGATGTAGCAGGCAGTGCTAGTTCATCAATACCTTATGAAAAGTTGAAGAGTGGAAATTACTCGTTGAACATACCAGCTGTGGCTTACACTTTTGCCTATTGTCCAAAGAAAAGAAAGCGAGAATTTATGTATAAGGATCTCATGTTCCATGTGAGGGAAGTTGGAAGCTGTAGCTCCAACAAGCGAACTGCAATAGATAAAGCTAACCATCTTACATTGGCCAAGTACTTCGAAAATGATGTAGCACTTGCTGCCAGTCCATCAAAACCTGATACTCTAGGTGATCCTCAGGTTGATACTCTTTTAGATTATGACCGTGCTGAGATGTTTGTATGGCCGTGGATTGCAGTTGTTGTGAATCTTCCCACTGAATTTAAGGATGGACGCTATGTAGGAGAAAGTGGTTCCAATCTGAAGGATCAGTTGATAAGGAGAGGTTTCAATCCAACACGAGTGCGCACTCTATGGAATGACCTAGGCCATTCTGGAATTGCTCTTGTTGAATTCAAGAAAGATTGGTCTGGGTTCAGTAATGCCATATTATTTGAGAAGGCCTATGAGGCCGATTATCATGGTAAGAAGGATTGGGAAGTCAGTAATGGCAAAAAGCCTGATCTTTATGCTTGGATAGCTCGAGCTGATGATTATCAGGCTACTAATGTTGTTGGTGAAAAGCTCCAGAAATTTGGAGACCTTAGAACCCTTCCTAATATCATGGAAGAAGAATCTCGGAAGACTCGTAAGCTTGTTTCTAGTTTGACCAATGCCATTGAAATCAAGAAGTTGAACTTAAAGATGATAGAGGACAAATATAAGGAGACTTCCCAGTCTGTCGAACAGTTGATTGTGGTGAATGCTAAACTTCGTCAATCATACAATGAAGGTTTGTGATTGCATATGCGTCCTATTAGGAACTCAGGATACTGTGTATTTGATGGCCTAACATGCTTGTTTGTATGATTAGAAATAAAAAAGATCCAGTCAAGTTCACGCGATCATTTCCAGCAGACATTTATTAATCATGAAAAGTTAAAATTACAATTGGAAACTCAAAAAAAGGAGCTTGAACTCCGACATACAGAATTGCAGAAACGTGAGGCCCAAAATGAAAGTGATAGGAAAAAAATGTCCGAAGATCTTGAACAGGTATACTGCTACTTGCTTAACTGTTTCTATGCTGAATCTGATTTTAGTTTGATCTATCATTTGCAAAAATTAAAGGGGACAGAAGAGTACATGACCTTCTTTCCTTGTCAAACCATAATAAGCATTAAGTTTTACACGAAGGCTGAAAACTTAGGTGATGGCTTGATCTCATAGACATGGATGTGCTAGTTGAAACTTTCTCGAAATATTCTAGTTATTGTTCACAGCATGGAGTTAGAACCAATGCATGCATGGTTATACCAATTGTTTGAACGTTCAAATATACACTGCAAACTAGGTCATTTTCTTCGCAATCTTTTTCTTTATTTTCTACTTTCCACTTCTCGTACTCTAAGAGTAATAGGCGGGCACTGTTCTTTCATGTATGCTTTTCTTTGTTTATTTGCATCTTAATTGAAAAAAATGCTTTCTAGAGAAGCACCTGTGATGGAATTTTTTGGAGCGTCACCTAAGGAACCAAGCACCCTTACGTGCCTACCTTTAGTTGAATTGAAAATAGTTATCATGAAGTCTTATTGTTGTTCCTCCAGAATGCTATCCTAAAAACCTCCCTTAGTGCTGCGATTGAAGAGCAACGGAATGTTGATGAAAAAGTACCGAAAATGGCAGAAGAACTGAAGGTCTGGTTTTCAGGTTCCTCTTTTGCTTGTTACTGACATTATCTTGATTGTTAAGTTCCCATGATATATAAAAAATCACTAAGGTGCCATTTTGCTGTCTGCAGAAACAAAAGGAGGAACTCCATAAGAGAATTATTAAGCTTGAGAAACAACTTGTCACGAAACAAGCAGGAGAAATAGAAGTGGAGCGATTGCGAGTGACTATGAAGCAGATTGAAGAAGAGGCCAATCAGGAAGTTCTGCAAAAAGTTGACACACTGCTTAAAGATTTAAGAGAAAAGGAAGAAAAATATGAAGATTTAGTGGCTTTGAACCAAACCTTGATTGTGAAGGAACGAAAGAGCAATGATGAGCTGCAGGAAGCACTTAAAGAATTGGTTAATGTATGTCAAATAATCTGGTTTCATTATACATTGTTGATAGTGTCTATCTATAGCAATTATATTCATATTTATTAAAAAAGAAGAAGACTGTTAATAGCATATTGTAGCGTGCTTTTGAGGATTTGGG